ATGAATATGACTACTTTTAGAATTTCATAAAAGAAAGAAAAAGCCCCCAATATTTAGGTCACGCTATCCTTTTGACCTATCCCCCCAAAAAGTGTATAGTAGTGTTTGCTTGATTATTCCTAAGAATAGAATTATGTGAATCCTCAGGCTAGCACAAAGCATCTGCCGACTGAAAGATTAGGAGGTTATGTAGATTTCCAGGATCCTTTGTGCTTCTGCAGGAACTTCTGTAAATCTTTATTAGAGAGGAACAATTAAAGTCTTGTTTTAGTGCCCATCAAAGGACGAATAGATAATGAAGATGTGGTATATATATAGGCAATGAAATGCTACTCAGCCATAAAAAAGATGAAATTTTGCCAGTTTTGACATGGATGGACCTTGAGGGTATTATGCTAAACAAACTAAGTCAGAGGGAGAAAGTCGAATATCATATGATCTCACTCATAAATGCAAGATAAAAACAACAACAACAAACAAACAGACACAGAGATTAGTTGGTGGTTATGAGAGAGGTTGGGGGAGGGAGAAGGGAGAAAGAGGTGACCATGCACATGTATATGGCAATGGACGGTAATTAGTCTTTGGGTGGTGAGCAGGATGTAATCTTCACAGAAATCAAAATATACTGATATACACCTGAAATTTGTGTAATGTTATAAACCAGTTACCTCAATAAAAAAAAATAAAACAATAAATAAATAAAAATGAAGTCTTGTTTTCATATCACTCGTAATCACCAAACGTTAGCCAAGGAGAACGGAAAATGCTAAAATGATTTGTGTGCCTCAGATAGCCAAGTATCCTTCACTTGTTCAGCTGATACCAACTCAGGATCCTTTCCAACATTGCCAAGGGAACTAGCAAGTGATGAGACAACTGAGACGATGATGCCATAACAGGAAGATCTGTGCTTAATTCATTGCAAGACTGAAGAGTTATAAACAACTATGTATGTGTATGTGTGTATGCCCATGTATGTGTGTGCAAGTGAATGTATGTGTGTCAGGGAGAGCAATTCTCAGCATTTCAGCAAGGATTTGGTTTAAGTCAAGAAGTACTATATCCAATATTTATATTCTTGCCTTGTTTCAAAAGAATTTAAGGCAGGGAAATGAAATTTTTTAAATCTCCAAAGTACTAGATTACTATTCTTACAACTTAAAATGAATGTATATTTCTGTTTTAGAGTGAAAGACAACAAGAACTAATTTTTCAAGGCTTTGACTTACTTTTGCCATGCCTGATCTTTTCCAAGAATTTAGAAGAGATTTCTTTAGAAAAAAATGAAAGTGTCTTGGGGCTGGCCCCATGGCCGAGTGGTTAGGTTTGCGTGCTCCACTGCAGGCGGCCCGGTGTTTCGTTGGTTCGAATCCTGGGTGCCGATGTGGCACTGCTCATCAAACCACACTGAGGCAGCGTCCCACATGCCACAACTAGAAGGACCCACAACAAAGAATATACATCTATGTACTGGGGGGCTTTGGGGAGAAAAAGGAAAAAAAATAAAATCTTTAAAAAAAAATGAAAGTATCTTATCAATTATAGGTTTTCTGTGATGTTTTTTACAATAGCTATCATAGAAATCCGTTTTTATAAAGTATTTCACCTTTGAAACTTACCAACAAGAATCTTGTTAAAAATTATTAACAATATTGAATTTTCCTAACTTACACTTCCCACCCCAAATGATCAGTAGAGTCTATCAATTGGGAATGCCAGAGACTTTAGAAAGAAACAGAACAATTAGTTGAGAAGAATAAAAACAGTATTATAAATAAACTATATATTTTTGCTAAACCACATAACATTAGGCATACAAACTGAGTTAGATCATACACAGGTTTGTTCTGTTCTAATTGCCAGTCTCCTCCCACTGGGTGGTAGAGTCAGGATTCCAGAGGGATTTTTTTCCTCACATCCACTTCTTCAATATCCTTTCTTGTCCCACTATGAGTAGGACAAGAGTCTCTCACTAGCCCTACCAGTTGGCCACTAGACTTTCTGATCCCCGTGAATTTATTCAACATCTGATGGCACTGATATAAGAGCTTGTTCCTGGTAACTCTCCAGGTACTTTTCACTGTTGTTGCAGGAGCAAAGAGAAGAGTCAACATGTATTAAGCTCTTCTAGGCACTTGACACACATCATTCATTTCATCTTCACAGCAACGCCATGAAATCACTTCTGTTTTTATCCACATCTCTCTAATTTGCAATCCGTGGCTTAGAGATGTCAAATAACTGCCCGAGGTTGCACAGCTAAGGAGTGGCAGTGCTCAGACTAGAACTCCGGTCTGTGGGTGCCAAAGTCCATGCTACAGGCCAGGGTCAAAGTAAAGGGCAAGCCAGATGGCCTGCTGCCGGGGGTGCCAATCTATAAAAAGCACAGAACATTACTGGAGTCAATGAGTAATGTGTTGTCAGTTCACTCAGGTTTCCACACACAAATCTTCACATAGTTATAAACTGGTTGCACTCCCACCAAAACAGACTGCTCTTGCAAGTGGAAATAACACTCCCTGGGCACCGGTATGTCTTACCTCAGATGAGTATTTTTTTTTTTTTTTTTAAAGATTTTATTTTTTCCTTTTTCTCCCCAAAGCCCCCCGGTACATAGTTGTGTATTCTTCGTTGTGGGTTCCTCTAGTTGTGGCATGTGGGACGCTGCCTCAGCGTGGTCTGACGAGCAGTGCCATGTCCGCGCCCAGGATTCGAACCGATGAAACACTGGGCCGCCTGCAGCGGAGCGCGCGAACTTAACCACTCGGCCACGGGGCCAGCCCCCCTCAGATGAGTATTTTTGTGAAACACATGGCAAGTTGCACACTGCAGCTTCAGGCCCTGACCCACCAACCAGGTGACACTCACCTGAGGTTCACAGTCCAGTCACAGCCAGCTAAAATTCTAAACCCAAATAATGCCTGGCCCAGTGCTGTTAATTGGGAGTGATTCCTCGTATCGTTGTTTTGTTTTGTTTTTTATTGAGGTCACATGGGTTTATAACACTGTGTAAATTTCAGGTGTACATTACTATATTTCAGCTTCTATATAGATTGCATCTTGTTCACCACCAATAGTCTACCTTCCATCCGTCACTGTACATGTGCCCCTTTACCCCTTTTGCCCTTCCCCCACCCCCCTCGTATTAGGTTTTACATTGTTTTAATAAGCTTCCCAAGAAGTTGTTGACTTTGCACAACTGCAAGTAATAAGAGGAAGCAACAGATCACTATCCTAAACATGAAAAAGGAGGTATGTCTGTTATTTTCTAGACTAAAGCTCCCTGGCCTTACCTCGGACCTCTAGGGAGAAAGACCTCCCATATTACACCTTTCCCTGTGCATTGGTTTGTGGTGTGCCCTCTTTCTCATCGTGGTTGCCTTGTGCTCCTTCCTTGAGCTATCCTGTTAAATACAGCATCAAGCCTGCACATTTCCTTTGGCCTTGTTCTGAAAGGGCACCGCTCAAAACTTCTCCTTCTCCAAGTCAGAGCTTTCCATCCTTTCCCACATAACTGCACACAGAGAAAAGGGTGTTACTGGTGAGGAGTACACATTTGTGCTATAAGCACACAAGACTGCTGGAAGTGGGAAGGCGAAGGGCCCAGAGACCTGGGCCACCCAGGACCTGGGAGCCGGGGCTCAGTATCTCGGCACAACTATTTGCTCTTCCCAGTGCCCTGCCTGAGAAGCTCTGCCATAAGGAACACTAGATTTTCCATTACTGTAATCTGGGCCTACCTTTGATTTTCTCACTTATTGCAAATGCATCCGGAAAAATAAAACAGCACATATAAGTACTGTGCACTAAATGGGAAAAAGAAATTTGAAGTCTAAAATGATCATATCTGTTTCTGGAGGAAAAAAAATGCCTTCTCACCTCTCCCTGCACTTGCATGAATACATAATTGTCCTTTGCTGAGACGCCAACCACACAACCCTCCCAGCCCTCTGCCTAAGACAGGTGCAAACAGACCGGAACGGACCGAAGCAGAGGCAGCCTGTCCTCATCTGGGCTCCAGCCTGGTAGCCAGATGGGTGGTTGAGAACCACCATACACTTTAGGTAACCAATATCCTGTTAAGGTGGTTAACTGAAACATGTAAGGCAAGAGCTGCCTCTGAGTAAATCCATAAATTATTGCACTCATTTCTTAGTGGCCAAGGTCAGTGTGAGCAGCGGAATAAAGTACATGATCTGAATTTCGATTTGGTCTTCAATTTTTAAAAAGCCCTAGATCTTGAGTAAATGTCATCAAACTTGTGTTAGCGACATCAAGATCTCAGTTCTGCTTCTAGTTTCTTATGTTAATGAAATTTATGGTTTCTCTCAAATTTATCTAAAATTTTCTTCTTATAAAACTAGGGCTTTGCTGCCCTGGTTACAAATGCTTGAGTTGTGCAATCATTTCCCCTTCCCTTCTTAGTGCTGTGGGAAGTAAAGTAGATCCAGCACGTCGTAATAGTGGCTAGATTTCTTGAGCACTTACCGTGTACCAGCCACTGTGCTAATTAAGATACATGCATGATGGCATTCATTCCTCATGAAAACCTCATGAGGTCATTCTTATTCTGATAATCCCCATTTTAGAGGAAGAAATCAAGGTTTAGAGATGCTAAGTACGTTGTCTGAGGTCACACAACCGGAAAATAGAGTTGGTAAGAATAGAATAGAATAGAAGCCTCATGTGTCGGACAACCAGGTCTGCGCTCCTGGTTACACATTCTGCTGCTACAGGATATCCTTTAAGTTGTAATAGGCGTTTACATTTGAAGAGACACATAGTTGTTTCACTTATTTTTTGAAGGCTCTTTAAAAATACAAGCTTGAATGTGTGCCGCCAGCCCCCTACGGCTCTGTGAAGTTTTTCCATTTGAACAGCTGGGGGAGCTTGTAGGCAGCGAATCTTTTCATTCTCTGTGTTCTTAAAAATAGACCCAACAGCTCAGGAAGAAGCACCAGCCTTAGCTTTTCTGACTGGTCCCAGTGATGACTTACCAGGCTGCAGAGTTCTGGAAGCTTGGAGATACTGCCAGGCTTAACCGAAAGCGTGCATCGGAAAGAGGACAAGATGCAGAAGTAGTTCCACAGGCTGTGGCATCCCAGGAAGTGGAAGAGGAATGGGTCTTTTAAGTAATGTTTGGGCAAAGCGAGATGTCGTCAAATCCTTGAAGAGAGGCAGCATGAGGCAGCAGAAAGCGTGCGGAGTTTCGAGGTAGACCGGCTTGGGTTCGAATCTGGCCCCGTGGGGGAAGGGCTTTTAGTTTGTTTTCTCCACTCTTTATCCTCAGTACAGTGCCTGGTGGTTAGTATGCCCTCAGTATTTGCTGAATGAATGAATGAATGGGCAAATTAAATAACTTATTAAAGCCTCGATTTCCTCATCTAAGTGACGAGTGTTTCTCAGAAAACATCAGCCCTAGAGTTCAAAACAAACAAACAAACAAAAAATGTTATCATTATAAAACCAACTCTGTTTCTCTGGCTCCATCCCATCTCGCTAATTATTTCTGTAAGTCTTCAGGGTCTGTCCTACTCGACTCAGAAACACAGTACCATCTACCACGTACCACCTGCCACCTACCAGTTTTCTCTCCGTTACATCAGACACCTGTACAGCTATTGGCTGCAGTGGCCTTGATCTCAAGGCCGAGGTGACATGTAGCCACCACAAGGGATGCAGCCGTCCTTCAGCCCTGTCAGTGCCCAGCTGGGCTGCAGCTGTCCCGAGGCCACAGCCACCACGTATCAGTAAATGTCCCTAAGGAAACGGAGGCCACTCTCAAGTTGAGATAAGGAGAGACTATTGTGAAAGGGACCATTTCCAAAATGGGGAGGAGGGAAGGAGCGGACCACATGAGGCAAAGTAGTAACCCTGCGTTAGTGACAGGAGAGCTCTTACCACCGGGGGCTGGATAGACAGGAAGGGGAACAGGCAATGGGAGAATTCTGTAGGAGTATGTCCCTGTTTAAATGCTACCTCCTTTGAGAAGTTTTTCTTGACACCCCCAAGTGCAGGCTGACATTGGCCCTCCTTCTCCAGTGTGCTGACCGTCCTTTGCCTTATTCCTAACACCTATGACATTGGAATTGTTCTGTTTTCTCCCTGCTAGACTATGAGGAGGGAGTGGGCACATCCTCTCACCTCTGTGTTCCCCTCATCCAGCCCAAGACCCACACAAAGTAGACTTTCAAACAATATATCTTGAATGGTTGAGCAAATGGATGAACAAATGAATGCCTGTCCTAAGGTGCAGAGGAGAAAAGGCATATTCAGAGCCTTGCCATACCTTCTTCTCCAAAACAGAACTGTCATTCTCTTTAGATCGAGATTGATGCAGTGCGTTCATAGGAAGAAGTTTCTTAAAAAACAGATGTGTCTAAATCAGAAGTGAATATCGTCCCTCTCCCGCAGGCCCCACATATAACAAAGTGTTAAAATGTTTCTCCTCTGACTTCTTTGTTTACATATAAATATATGTACTTTTAAAAGCAGATTAGTTATACATGCTGTTCTGAGAATACAATGAAAATATTGTTCTATATCATTACACAGATTTGATTGTATTATTTTTAGTAGCTACACAGTTAGACCTTTCCAAGCGTAACAGTGAAGGCAGAAACAGGAAAGAGTGATGGCAGGCTCGAAGTCAGGAGGTTGGGCTCTCTGCTTCCCAGCTCTGTGGTCTTAGGCACATTAACTTCTCTAAGCCCCGGTCTTTACCATCTGCGCTACTGGATACCAATAGCCTTGTCTCAAGAGAGCGTGGGGAAGACTAAGTGGACAATGCTTGTGATGCGGCCAGCATGGTACTGATATACTGGAAGTGCTCACTAAATCCTGGCCATTGCAGTCATTATCTCATCCTTTGATTACCTAGACACTGTAAACAAGTAAAGGCAAATGACAAATTAGGAAAAATACTCACAAAATGTATAATAGGCAAAAATTAATGTTACTAAGGGAAAGAGACATGTTCTATTAAAAAAGGGAGCCAGGGAGATGAACAGAAGAAGAAATATCAACGTGCTTTAAGAATATGAAAATGGTCAACCTCTCTAATAAAAAGAATGAGGCAAAGTCAAAACAATAGGATTGCATAACAGAATGTTTCCTAAAAAATTGTCACCATTTTTTTTAAGTCAAGTTGACAGAAGGGTTGGGAAATGGGCTTATAAGAATATTTTTAATATTAGTATTAGACACAGTAAAACTTTTTAACTCATCAATTTTACTTCTAGGAATCTTGCTCAGGAAGGGTCATGGATGTACTCAAAGGTATATATGTGATAGGGGCCCTTCCCCCCCAAAAAAACACAGTAAATAAACATCTTAAAAAAGGAAATTAGAGGCCAGCCGCATGGCCAAGTGGTTAAGTTCGATTGCTCTGCTTCAGTGGCCCAGGATTCACAGGTTTGGATCCTGGACGTGGACCTAACACCACTCATCAAGCCATGCTGTGACACCATCCCACATAGAGGAACTAGAATGACGTACAGCTAGGATATACAACTATGTGCTGGGGCTTTGGGGAGAAAAAAAAAGAGGAAGATTGGCAACAGATGTTAGCTCAGGGCCAATCTTCCTCACAAAAAAAAAGAAGAAGAAGATGATTTGATATATTAAGAAAAATACTATGTAACCATTCAAAATGATACAGATTGAGAATACTTAATGGCATGCAAAGATTATGCATAATATATTAAGTGAACAAAAAAGATTTTAAAGTTTATGTGTTAGATGGTAACCATTTTTGAAAACATAAAAATAAATATCTGGATGCACATACCACAGTGTTAGAATCTACAGGTGCTAGAATCACAGGTATTCATTGTTTCCTTCTTATCTGTATTTCCTAAATTCTTCACAACAAACATTGATTTAGTAATAATAAATAAGATAAACTTCTTTTTAGCACAGCTATGTTAAAGGCTATGTTTCATTTTCAATTTATTTTAAATTCTAACTCTTTATTACGCAAGTAACGCAACTCACTGTAGAAAATTAGAATGTACAAAGAAACGAAAAGAACAACCCACCCACGAATCCATCACCCAGGGAGTCCTAATGTTTAATAAAAATAGGTTCATGATATAAATGCTGTTTTGTAACTTACTTTTATCATTAAATGTATCCATGGTTCGTTACATATATCCACATCATCATTTTCGATTGTCTAGGTTAAGAGGCCCACTGAAAGATTTCACCACAACTCCTTTAGCCAGTCCGCTCCTGAGAGCCTCTTAAATTGTTTTCAGACTTGCTCCTACCCAGCCTGGAACACATATGCTGAGCCAGCTTTGTGTACTACCCTGAAGATTTCCTTCGAATAAATCCCAGAACGGGAATTCCTGCTTCATTCTTGAGTCTTTCCAATTCCTCTTGGTTGGTTAAAAATAGAGCAAGGCAATTAAAATTTGAGTAAGGCAATTTTTTTTCAATGGCAGTAAACCAAAATTCGGTCCCCTCACTGACAGAATTTCCTTCAAACTTCTTCTGATGGAAATTGAAGTAAAGCGTCTGCTCGTCTAGCTCTAAAGATCTATGGTTCTGGGGCAACTTTGTTGCAACCATGAGCTTAATTTCTGCTCTGCCTCAGCCACTGGCTCCCAAGGCCGCAACTGGATCTTGACCTGTAATTGCTCTACTTCAAAATCTGAAACTCAAAGATCCCAGTCTCTGACCACATCTTGCTGTTATTCTCTGGGCATTTTTGTTTTATCTTCCCCTCCCCCCCGCCCCCGCCCCAAGGAAGATTAGCCCTGAGCTAACATCTGCTGCCAATCCTCCTCTTTTTGCTGAGGAAGACTGGCTCTGAGCTAACATCTGTTGCCAATCTTCCTCTACTTTACATGTGAGACGCCTACCACAGCATGGCTTGCCAAGTGGTGCCATGTCTGCACCTGGGATCCAAACTGGTGAACCCCGGGCTGCCAAAGCAGAATGTGTGCACTTAAGCGCTGTGCCACCGGGCCGGCCCCTATTCTCTGGGCACTTTTTACCCACCTAACTGTTCTTTGACCTCATAGATATTTCTGGGCCTTTCATCCTGCCATTCTCTACGTTATTCTCTGCCTTCAGCCACCTTCCTTCTTAATCTCTCCTGAGCCTCATGGCCCATCATCGGATTTCCCCTTCTTCAGGACCCTGCAGCCCTGGCACCTTCTATTTTCACATCGCCTGCCTAGAAAAGTGGAGAACATTACACAACGATGCTGACGGATGCCGCTTTGAAGTCATGACAAAGGCCTTTACATCACCCAGTATCCTAACATCCTCTTCCCTTTAATGATTATTCCAACCCTTCACTGCCTTAAATTTTCATCTTTTCATATTTAGCAGACTGCCTTGCTTCAGATTTTTGGGGGGAAATTGCAGCCACAGGAATGGTCTCTCAGCTTCCCACTTTCCCTACACACTCACTGTACACCCTCTCTCCTCATTTCCTCCAGGATCGGAAGATGGTGTGTCCCTCCTTAGTCCAAAGCCACGCCTGCGCCTTGGATATGTTGCCCACCTTCCTTCCCACCCAGGACCTGAAAGCTTCCATCACTTTCTCTCAAATATTGTCAACCTCTTCTTCTCAGCAGGCTTCTTGCCCTCAGCCCAGGATTATTTTTAAGTTCTCTGATTCCATTAATATTTCTACATTAACTCAATCTCTTGCCTCCATCTTCACTCAACTTTTGCGTATGTGGAGCCTGGTCTTCCTGTTCCCACGTCCAAAGTCACTGACTCTGGCTCCAGCTCCCACCATTCTTTTGAAACTGTTCTTACTACACTCACCATGGGTCAAGAAGGGACTCTTTTTTTAGATCTTATCTCTGGCATACTTAGCACTTTCAAGTATTCTCTTCTTTTTTCCCCCCAACTTGATATGATGAAAATTTTCAAACATACAGAAAGTTGAAAGAATAGTACAATGAGCATCTATATGACCATCACCAGGATTCACCAGTTGTTAACATTTTGTCTCATTTACTGCCCCCACCTCGTGTATGTGCATGTATGCGTTTAAAAGTAAGTTGCAGACATCATAACACCTCACTCCTAAATACTTCATCACGTGTCTCCTCAGAATAAGGGCATTCTCCTACATAAACACAATGCCATCTTCACACCTAAGAAAGTTGGCAATAATCCTGTAATGTCTTCTGATACCAAGTCCTTATTCAAATGTCTCCAATAGTCTCAAGAATGTCTGTTACGACTATTTCCTCCCTGAACCAGGATCTGAACAATATTCAGACACTGAAGTTGGTTTTTATGTTTCTTTCTTCTTTTGTAATCTCGTACCCTAACCTTTTTTTTTTTTCCATGACATTGAATGGTTTAGGAGTCCAGGTCGTTTGTCTTTAGGATGTGCTGCATTCTGAGTGTTTTCTTATAGCATAGTTTACATTGCTTCTTTCCTAAGTAAACTGGCGGTTAGGTCCAGAAGCTAGGTTGAATTTTCGGCACTGATACCCCATGGGTAAGATGTCCACTTCATGTTACATGTTGTCACTTGTTCCTCTGCTAGTGGTGCCAAGTCTGATCACTTTGTTAAAAGTGTGAACAACAGCTCTCTATTTTAAAAGTATGTTTTTCCTTTGCGATTATTAGGAGATCTATGGAGTAATATTTTGCATGATGGTAATATCTATTTTAGAATCCATTGACAATCACTGCCTGAATCAATTATTATATTGGAGATTTTAAACATTTTTTCTTAATTCTATCATTTCTTCTACATTTATTAGATGGTGTTTTTTAATAAAGAAATCTTCCCTTTTTTTCCCCCTCTGCCTTTTTTTGTTTGGTCTGGGGAACCACTATGAACTCATTGATTTTTACTGATGCAATGTATTGCAACCAGTTATATCATTATTCTTTTTGGCGTGCACGTTTTTCCTAATATGACATTGCAAAACTCTTTAAGCCAGCTTCTGTGTCTTTTTGATATAACCTTATTCATTTTGAGCACTTCTTCGGATTGTTGGAGAAAAGAGCTATCTTTTGCCTGCCCCAGCCCTGGAATTGGTTTCTCTAAGGAGCCCTGGTTCCTTTTAATGGGGAATAGCATGTAAAAACTAAGATCTCAATGTTGAGTGTGCTCATTGCTGCTGGGGTGTTTGGTTTTTTTTCCTAAATGATGGCTTCATATAATGTTTTCAATAGAAATTTAGGATTCCTCTGCCGTGGACACTTCTCTTTTCTCTTACACTGAAAACTTGGGTTCCTAATAACAGTTATATATTTACTTATTCTCTTTATCCTGCAATATACTTAAAATAGTTTCAAACTTGTAATGCCAATATTACTACTGATGATAAATCTACTGGGTGAAGCTTACAATTTCCTTGCACTGCTTTTTTGTTCTTCGGATATAAACCATAAAGATAAATAATCAAAGGACTGTGTTCACAGTGACTTGAAATTATTTTTTTTCTGGTTTTCTCTGGTTTTCTTATCAGCCTGATACAGAGTTAAGTTCATTTGTTTCAGTTTGTGTTCAATTTTAGGATTTGCCTTTTTATTTAATTTCACATTTTGGATATGGAGAACATTCACATGGTTCAAAAGTCACAACTATATAAAAAGGTATTCTCAGAGAGGTCTTCTTCCCAATCATGTCCTCTTCGCCCTGTCTACCCACACTCTCCCCCAAAAGTAACCATTTTCATTAGCATCTGGTTTATTCTCTCTGCATTTATTTTTACAAATATGACCATATAGATAGATACATATTCTTATCGCAGAGACATTTTCCTTATTCTGTTTTTATAACTAAATAGTCCTCTATTGGGTGGATGCACTTATAGTTGTTTCTCATGGGTTGTTTCTTAGCTTTTGTTATTACTTGTAATGCTGTATTGAATAACCACATGTATATATTTTTTATATTGTAGAAGTGTATCTTCAGGGTAGGTGGTATCTTCTAGAAGTAGGAGTCAAAGGGCAAATTCATAAGTAATTTTGTCAGATACTGACAAATTCTCCTCCAACAGGGTTGTGTCATTGTGCCTCTACTGCCACCAGTGAAGAGCAGATCCCTCCCAACTTCTTGATTCCCTTGATACCCATGATAACGCACCATTGTTAAATTTCTTATATCTTTGTGGTTACTCTTTCTCTTCACCTTTCCTCCCATCTCAGCCTCATTTCATCTCACTCTATACATTCTCCTTGAGTAATATTATTAACTGTCCATGTCAATTAACTCCTGTTCACTTCCTCGCCTGATAACCCTGGTAACTTCCACACCTGCATTGGCAGTCCAGAGAGCTCCCTGGAGCTCCAGACTCAGGTATTCCTCTGCCTGCTCAGCATTTCCATCCCTAGATGTCCCTTAGATAATGAAACCATGTCTGTTATCAGAACTTATTATCTTACCCTCTAAAACTGCTCCTTAGATGGCACCACCATCCAAGTAAACATCAAACTTGGAACCTGCTAGTTGTCCTGATTTCTGTCTTTTGCTTATCCATCAGCAGCTGATTTTACTTCCTGTGCGTTTCTGGAATGGGGCCCTCTACATCCCAACACCACTGCCCTCTCTCAGGACCTCCTCACCTCTCCCTGACAGCATTGCAATGGTCTTCTAGCTTGTCCTCTGCCTCCACCCCAGTCCTTCTGAAAATCATCTCAACACAGTAGCCACAATGAGATTTTTTTTATAGATTTCAAAGTTCTGCATTGCTTAAAGTGAAGGGTGTTGAAATAACTTGCTATAGTCATTGCTGAATAGCTAATCCATTAAAAGTAGTCTAGATTTCATGAATGTTCTGATGTGTTTGGGAGAAATTTTAGGTAGCAATTTAAAAGGAGAAGTGGCGGCCCAGGGTTCGCCAGTTCGGATCCCAGGTGCGGACATGGCACCACTTGGCACGCCATGCCATGGTAGGCATCCCACATATAAAGTAGAGGAAGATGGGCACGGATGTTAGCTCAGGGCTAGGCTTCCTCAGCAAAAAGAGGAGAACTGGCAGTAGTTAGCTCAGGGCTAATGTTCCTCGGAAAAAAATAAATAAATAAAAATAAATAAATAAATGAGAAGTGGTATTCACAGACTGCTTTCTGAAATAACCCTTCCCAGGGCCAGTGTTGTTACAGAAGAAATATAATGTATCCAGTTATTTGAGCCAACAACCAGCATCATGCTATTATGACTAGTTTTTTACACAGCAAATATTCTCGAACAGCGGAAAAAAGAAAGTCCTCTTTAAGTAGTGAATTTAATCAAAGTCAAGGCAAAAGGATTTTCTAGTTGTATATAAGATTGTGACTGGTGATTCAAACTACCAAAATATTATTGACCCTAACTTGGTTAACAGAGAAGGGTGGAATGGGCAAGACAGTGAGAGGAGATAGGTTAGCATCTTAAATTCTTATTTATACCACTTGGGTGTAATTTAAATGTAAGGAGAATTACAGTGATGTAAGCGTTCATTGTAGCACTCTAGCGGAATTAGTATTATTTGCCTGTACCATAAAACTCTAAAGGCTTATGTTCTCTGTTGTTTCAAGGAAAAAAAGAAGAATGGGAGATTTTAAAATGAAAAATCATATAACAATTCATGTATAAAATGGTTTAGGGACTCATGAGTTTAAGTTTCCTGTTTAAATTATTACTTTCATAGCAACAACCAAAGTTGACCAGAGTTATACGTTTACCAAAGGGAAGGGAAAAAAAAAACAAAAAGAAAAGAAAATTAATCTGTCACCATTGTGAAACAGAATAAATCAACACTTTTTCCAAAAAGCAAGAAGCTAGGAATCAATTATGATTCAAATGAATATTAAATGTTTTCCTTTTAATTAATTTTAATGATGTAAAATCAATATCTGATTGGAAAAGAATTTGCTATGGTACAACTATAGATCACGTCCAACTTTGTTATTTCCACCCTTTCCTGGGTGTTTCAAAAAGATTCCCACCACAGAAGTGATCTTATGACCCATCCGTATGCTAACCTACCGCCACCCCCTGCTCCCACCCCCTCACCTCTCACTCTCCAGCCAGCAGGAGGGGTGATTAGAATACACTTAGGACCTCTGAATTGTAAAGCAAGCAAACAAATGGCAAAATTCCCCCAAATGCAAAAATATACAAAAAAGTGAAAGAGATGAAATTCATCGGAATCCTGAGTCCCTCCTCTCCTGTTGGTATTGTACAGGAAAAATATCTCATAGGTTGATATTGGGAAAATGGTGCTACGTGGAGCCACCTACCAGCTGCCTGTTTACATTTGGTCTCTGCTGCCTGAACCACAGGCCCGCCACATGCTGCAGCGTGACCCCCTGATCATACAGAAGGACCATTGGAAAAGGCTTAGCCTTCCCTCTTTCTCTCCACAGAACGTAATCTATACTATCCAAACAAACTCTCTGGAGGTCTGTTTACATCATGTACAAAGAGCTGGGAGACTGACTAACAATTACTGGACATTAACAATCCTTTCAGCTAGTTCTAGCCTGAAGTGGGTGAATGTTGATATGTGGAAAAGAGGTAATTGAGAAAACATCCATATATACCATCTAGTACTCCAAAAGTTAGCTAAGAATAACCAGCTGTCCCAATCCAATGTTGTTTTCTTAAAAAAAATTCTTGCTTGAATTTGAAAGAAAAACAGCAGCCCATTTCAAAAATCTGCATTTGATTATTCTTTCAAAAAGCTAGTGTTTCTCATCACTTCCAAAGGTGAGGGGGAGGGAACTTTACTTTTAATTAGAATGTGGATCCTGCTGTAAGTGACATTGTGAGGTCCATTGATTGATGGTGTCATTTACACTTTCCCTGACTGTATACTAAGGCTTTGAGCCATCACTAAGGCTAATTAGAAGCTGAAAGTACATGGGATCTGCAAATTTAGTAAGAGATTAATAAAACTCAGTAGTTTCTGGACAGATAATGGATGTGAAGCAAAGAAAATAAATTTAATGCTAAAATGTTAGGTGTGTTGAAAAAGATGATTCTGACACTTAAAATGGTGAAGAAGACTTTATTTAGGTTTATTGTAGTAGGGGTGCTTGTAATAGAGGAGAGAGATAGGGCTCCACTCCAGATACAACAAGGATTAAGTAGGCATTTATAGCCAAGGAGCAGAGTGTGGGGGTCAGCCAGCAGTGATGTCCCCTACTAAGAGGGGACACCAAGGGTAGAGGAATCCTTGCTGAACTGACCTAACAGGATTCTTGCTAAACACAGGCCAAGGACTTAGACCCATCAAAGGTGGGTGACAAGAAACTTGATCAGATATCAAGGGTGATCACATATCAAGTGTGGGGGGACTCTTGCTAAACTCATTTAGCAGGATTCTTGCTAAGACTCGGCTGGACAGGCAGAAGACAGGACTGGGGTCAAAGTCAAGGCCTAGATGAGAAGAGGGCTCAGAGGATCCTGACTAAAGTTTGATCAGGGAGAGAATCTTTGTCAGGTGCCACATCGTAATTCACCCTAAGAAGTATCAAAAGATAAACAGGAAGTTGTACGCAGTCTTCTTCTCAAAGCCTGTTTTGCATGAGAACCAGAATTGGTTCACTAGAGAGGCACCAACCCACCAGTTCTCGTGAGAAGTCCTGCTGCCTTTGTCGCAACTGGTCCCTCCAACCCCACTTCCCTGGAGCGAAAGAGCAGGATTCTGTCTCCTGTGCAGTGTGGCAGTCTGGGGAATGGAGGCCAAGGGCAGGACTTGGCTATATGCCTGTGCCTTTATGCCTGAAGGTAAAAATACGATTTTAAGCATTTTAATTTTTATTAATTGACTAAACAAAAGTTCTTGACTATTTGTAAATCATTTAAATTTGATTGAATTTTTTTCTCTTTTTTTGACATTGAAAATACATATTATTCCTAGTTCTCTTCACTACTCCATGGTCATTCCAGAGTAGAATACTTTGTTGTCTTGAAATTTGTTCTTATCCTTCTTAACCACATTCAAAAACAGCTTCCATCTGGATTTGAAACACTCTGGTTTTATTCTCCTTGGCTAGGATATCCTGTGACACAAAGGAATGAGAACTGGAGTCATTGCAGATGCCAGGTATTGTGTTAAGCCCCTTACATATGTTATCTCATTGAATAACCAAAAATGATTCTATAATATAAGTATGTTTGTTCTTATTTTATAGATGAGTAACCTCAGAGAGGTTGATAGTTGCCCAAGGTCACACAGACAGAGAGTAAAGAATTTGAGATTCAAGCCCAGACATTCTGATTACTTGCCCTCACTCTAGACCATTACTAAAATCTGTGTTCTAGACTCAGCTCTGCCATTAACTTGGTTGGTGTCCTTAGACAAACTTTCATAAGCCTCAGTTTATAAATAAGGAAATTGACCTAAGTTTCTTCTGCTAGAACTTGTGATTGCCTTTATGATATTCTGATTTATAATAAGAAATATATATTTGGTCTTTGTCCCTGTTCCCAGCATGGGCTCCGAAAACTCTTGGAATTTCCTAAGAGATGAGAGCAATTAATGTCTTTTGTTATGTTAATGAGGAGACTTTTGGACCTCACCTGAGGATGGGGGCTGGGTGCCAGGAGAACCAACCATGTGATTAGAGGGTTGGAACTTTCAGTCCCCTCCACCAGACTCCCTACCCCAACCTTCAGGAAAGGAAGAGGAGCTGGAGGTTAAATCAGTTGCCAATTGCCCATCAACCATGCCTGTGTAATGAATCCTTCATAAAAACCCAAAAAGATGGGATTCCAAGAGCTTCCAGATTGGTGAAGGTGTGGAGGTGCTGGGAGAGCAGAGCACCCAGAGGGCATGGAAGCTCCACACCCCTTCCACATACCTTGTCCTATCCATTCTCTTCCATCTGGCTCTTCCTAAGTTACATCCTTATGTAAAAAACTGGTAATCTAGTAAGTAAAATGTTTTTCTGAGCTCTCTGAGACACTCTAGCAAATTAATCAAACCCAAGGGTGGGGTTGTGAGGACTTTTATCTAAGGCTGCTGGGTCAGAAGCACAGGTGACAACCTGGACTTGCCACTGGCGTGGAGGGGGCAGTCTTGTGGGACTGAGCCCTTAACCTGTGGGATCTGATGCTGTCTCTAGGTAGATAGGAGCAGAATTGAGTCAAGTTTGTAGGCTACCTGGTCAGTACCCATGAAAAACTGAGTTAATTGTTTGGTGTTGTGGGGGAGGAAGACATTTCCTCTACCTGCTCTGGGTTCTTCTGGCTGGGGAACAAATTGAATTCACATGAGACCAGAATAACAGGAGAAATTAAACAAAGTTTTATAACATGTGTACATAGGAGAGGCTCAGGCAACCTGAGCAACTCGCCAAAATGGCTGAAGCCGCCACCTTAAATATCATCTTCAGCTAAAGACAAAGAAGGATGTTGGGGGTGGAAGGTAAGCCGATCATGGGAGATTACCACACAAGTACAGTAAACAAGAGTCAGGTTATTATGCAGACTTGAGTCCTTGCCTTCCACATTGATCAAGAGTTTCTAGAGATAAGGTCATCCCCGCTTCTTCCTGGTACAGAGAGGGAGACACCTTTACAGATGGAGATTTCCTTTACAAATGTAAATGTCTCTTAACAAAGGGTAAGCAAATTCCACTTTTCAGAGTTTCTTTTCTGTCTGCAGTTTTTAAAAGTAAGCAGCCCAAAATAATCCTCATGCCAAAGAGGCATATCTTGGGGTGGCCAATTCCAGTCCCCCACGGTGTGTTAAAGAAAAAATACACATTGGGATTGGTGTCAGGATTGTAGCCTTTGACTCAACTCCAGGACCAGTGAGAACTTAAGCTCTAAAACCAAACTTTTAACTTGCTAGTTCCTGATAGTAAATCCTTCTGTTAGCTTCAAAAGGGTGTCTCTTCTTATTCACTGTGGATGATGTAAAATTTGCATTCCATTACCTTAGGAGGCATCAAATGATTAAAATATAAATAAAATACAATGGTCTCCCGAAGTTCTAATTTGGTATTTATTTCCCTCTCCATACTTTAACAGTCTTGCACCCTTCAGGTTCCTCTGTCCTCTCTCTTCAGAAGACTGCCTGATAGTGACCTCTTTCCTGAGCTCACTTTCTGCCTCCTCCAGGATGTCTTCCTGGTATTTTAAACTTAACAAATGCTGAACTGAGCTAATCATCCAGCCTCTATGTTACTCAACAAATTGACTTCTTTAAAGATTTTTTTTTCCTTTTTCTCCCCAAAGCCCCCCGGTACATAGTTGTATATTCTTCATTGTGTTTCCTTCTAGTTGTGGCATGTGGGACGCTGCCTCAGCATGGTCCGAGGAGCAATGCCATGTCCGACCAAATTGACTTCTTTAAACTGGCCTTATTCCTTGTTTCCTCCTTTGCATTAAGAGCATCTTCTTCAAGTAACCGAGCTTAAGATCTTGTTCATCTTTAATTCCTTTCTTTCCACTGTCCTACAGCCTCAACCCCCCATCTGAATCGTGAAGTCTGTTCTACCTACGCAGTGTGTCACACATTCACCTACATTCTTCCATCTCCTTACCAGTGTCCTCCATCCTCAAGTCATAGCACTGTTAGATTATTCTTCTTAAAACAATTTTGATCATTCTCTGGCTCAAAAATCTTCTAGAGATCCCTTACCAAATAAGTGTCAAGATCTCTCCTTAACTATTTAGGGCCCTCCATGATATTGGTCCATCACATGCATTTTGCCTGCCTCTTATACTCGCTGATATACAGACTACACTTCAGTCAGGCAGGACTATTCACTGCTCTGTGTACACAGCCCATGCGTTTCCTGGTTCTGTGATTTTGCTCATGCTTTTCCTTCTGGGTGAAATGCCTTTCCTCCAATCTGCTTCTGTGAGTATCCTACCCAAATCAAATGCTGTCTCCTCCGTGAAGCCTCCCCAGGTTCCCCCACCACACCTGACCTCTTCTCTTTTTTGTTTCTGCCAATTCTATGGAAATTTTCAATCTCCCTCATTCTTTTTAGGGCCAAAGAACTTAAGTAACTATAAACAAATTTAGCGACCATCTGTACTTGCAACACTGTCATTATGCACTAAAGACAAAGCAAAAACGAGAGGAAGTGAAGTTATTGGCTAAATACCATATGGTTTGATAGTGGCAAAGCCAAGACCAAAAAAGTCTGAAAGTGAATCCATCACCATTTCTACTATATTAAGATTTAAGTACCGTTTTTTTCCTTCTCCCCAAAGTCCCGCAGTACATAGTTGTGTATTCTAGTTGCAGGTCCTTCTGGCTCTGCTATATGGGACACCACCCCAGTGTGGCCTGACAAGCGGTGCTAGGTCCATATCCAGGATTCAAACTGGTGAAACCCTGCGTCACTGAAGCAGAGTGTGCAAACTTAACCACTTGGCCATGGGGCTGGCCCCTAAATACCTTTTGATCTGACTACCTGTACAATTTACTAATAAATCATCCCTTTCAGCTCCATGATTTCATGCTGCTACTTTTTCTGTGTGCTCATCTTGTTTCCTCTACTTCTGTACCTCCAGAGCACCTAGCATATTCTCCAGAAAGATCGCTCGTTAAAATATTGCTTTAGGATCAAATGAATGAGTTTTGCTAGAGTCAAAGCATCTCTAAGCTTGGGGATAATCTGAAAATCCTTTAACCTGAACACTATGGCTGTTGAGAGTTCATCCATTCTTTTCTTTACTTTACCAATATTTTTTTGAGTGGTTCAAGTTACATATTTAAGCTCATAAAATTTAAACATTTAACTGAATACAACCAATGTGTTTATAAACAAGGAAGAGAAGCCATCATTAATGCATCTATGTCTCAGGTTGAATTAAATTCCTTTTGACTCTGATTGTTAACTCAAACACAAGTTATTTAACTGTTATTGAACCATCACTGTAGCCACCTCAAACACTTTCTAAAATGAACTAGAAAAAAATAATCAGCAATTTAATTTTTCAACTCATAACCATAAAATGTATGTAGGTACTTTTCACCTTCTTTTTTGCACAGGTGTGTGGGGATGCACACATACGTGTGCACTCACATGACACAACCCCCACATACACACGCAATCCACCTGCACCACGGTTATCTTTGAAAAATGGATAACTGCAGCTCCCAAGGGACATTCTCTGATGGTGGTGAAGAATTGTCATTCTTTATTATGACAATAATAATCGTTATTACTATTGTCATTATTATTTAAAGTCCAGAGTTGGTGCCTGAGTTTTTTAGCAGTAGAGTTATAAACAATGAGTACTAATTTTAAAAAATATCACGAGATCAAGGTAGTAGCTACACGTGACACCTAAAGATCCCTCTTTCTAGATAGCTCTCAGTGGGGGAGAGAACGCAATTGATAGCCCTCTTAGGGACGAAATGGCAAGATAACATGTCTACACTATATATATTAGAACATGGTCTTCTTAGCCATCCGTCACAGAAACAGACGGACTCCAACCAGCAGTTTACATCAAACTCATTTCCTAGACAGAGAAATTGAGGCTTGATGGAGAATGAAGTATCGGCACAGAGAGAGGGGATCCTGAGCTCCCGTAATTCACTTCGCCCCTAGGTTCCTGCACCCCTCATCCTTTTTCCTCTCAGCGTTTCAGGGCATTGTTCCTTCAGTTTGCACTAAGTTGGTTGGAGGTAGGCACCATAGGTTTGATTGATACTGCAATTTGCATCTCAAGGCATCGCTCGATAAATACAGTGCAATGAAAGGCTACTCTCTCACAAGCCAATTTCCCCCTCCGGGCTGACTTTGGAAGCTCATTGATGTCACTTCCTTCCTCAGTCAGCAAGTGAATTTTCTTTAATTCTCAAGACCAGCTGTCCATGCTGTCAACAGAAAGTTATTAAAATTCCTATAAAGTGAATAAAAATAGCCTAAAAGCAAATGTACTTGGAAACAGGAAAGAATCAGTATGCAAAGTCCACAAACCTCTGAGCAAAATAATGTTGATCCAACCAGAGATTTCAAACACTGTATATTCAAGATGCTAGAAAAAATAATTAAAAGATGCTAAACCACATACTTCTTAATCTTTTATTAGCAGTGGCTTATGCAGTTAAAATTTATCCCCTAAATTCCATTCC